ATGAAGTGGTAGGAAGAGTGGAGGAGGTCAGCAAGTTAGCAGGGGGTGGGGTAGGCTTCCCTGAAGAGATGGGTTTTCAGGGTGCGCCTAAAGGAGAGGAGAGTAGGTGATAATCTGATGGGTTGGGGCAGGGAGTTCCAGAGGATGGGTGACACCCTGGAGAAGTCCTGGAGGCGGGCATGGGAGGAGGAGACCAGGGAACTAGAGAGAAGGAGGTCTTGTGAGGAGCGGAGTGTGCGTGCTGGGCGGTACTTGGATATTAGGTCAGTGATGTAGTTCGGGGCAGTATGGTGGACAGCTTTGTACGTCAGCGTTAGGATTTTGAATTTGATCCGTTGCGCAATCGGAAGCCAGTGGAGGGATTGGCAGAGGGGGGTGGCGGAAACGGAGCGGTTGGAAAGGTGAATGAGTCTGGCAGCCATATTCAGGATGGACTGAAGCGGGGATAGCCAGCGGCGAGGCAGGCCAGTGAGGAGGGAGTTGCAGTAGTCGAGTCGTGATATGATGAGGGAGTGGATGAGCTGTTTAGTGGTTTCTGGAGTTAGGACCGTGCGGATTTTGGCGATGTTGCGGAGGTGGAGTCTGCACGAGTTTGTTAAAGAGTGGACTTGGGGCTGGAAGGATAGGTTGGAGTCCAAAATGACACCAAGTACTCTGGCCTGCGGGGCGGGTTTGATGGTGGCGTTGTTGGACATGATGGAAAAGTCAATGGGGGGTGGTGTCCGGGCTGGAGGGAAGACAAGAAACTCGGTTTTGGAGAGGTTCAGTTTAAGGAAGTGGAGCGACATCCAGTCTGATATGTCGCTCCACAGGTGTGTGATTCGGGCGGAGACCAAGGGGGTGAGGTGGGGGGTTGAGAGATAGATTTGTGTGTCGTCGGCATAGAGGTGGTAGTTGAAGCCGTGAGAGTGTATGAGTTGACCAAGGGAGGAGGTGTAGATGGAGAAGAGAAGGGGCCCGAGGACAGAGCCTTGAGGGACCCCAACAGAGAGGGGGAGTGAGAGGGAGGTGGTAGCATTATAGGTAACACTGAAAGAGCGTTGTGACAGGTAGGATGAGAGCCAGGAGAGAGCAGAATCTCTGAGGCCGAGGGAGTGTAGTTTTTTGAGGAGGAGGGGGTGGTCGACTGTGTCGAAGGCCGCAGAGAGGTCAAGGAGTAGGAGCACTGAATAGTGGCCATTAGCTTTGGCGGTTAGCAGGTCGTTGGAGAGTTTGAGTAAGGCAGTTTCGGTGGAGTGTAGGGGACGGAAGCCGGACTGTAGGGGATCGAGGAGGTTGTTGTCGTTGAGGTGAGAGCATAGGCGGGCGTAGACTAGGCGCTCGAGGAGTTTAGATATACGTAACCCATAGACCGGTCCCTCAATATACTCGCCCTATAGATCGGTCCCTCAATATACGCACCCCATAGAGCGGTCCCTCAATATATTCACCCCATAGACTGGTCCCTCAGTATATTCACCCCATAGACTGGTCCCTCAGTATATTCACCCCATAGACCGGTCCCTCAGTATATGTACCCCATAGACCGGTCTGTCAATATACGCACCCATGGACCGGTCCGTCAATATACGCACCCCATGGACCGGTCCGTCAATATACGCACCCCATGGACCGGTCCGTCAATATGCGCACCCCATAGACCGGTCACTGTATATACGCACCCCATGGAGCGGTTACTCAATATACGCACCCCATGGACTGGTCACTCAATATACGCACCCCATAGACTGGTCACTCAATATACGCACCCCATAGACTGGTCACTCAATATACGCACCCCATAGACTGGTCACTCATTTACCCTTCTCCGACTGTCTCCAAATAGTTCCCCACTAACAGATTGCCCCCTCTATATTTGTACCCCTATAGTAATAGATAACCCCTCTAATATTGAACCCCTAAAGATTCAAAATGTAACCTGTACCCTTGATGTGTCTCTTTCCTACCCCTTCCCAGAAACACAGGGAAAAAAACAACACAACTTTAGGTTTCCCACACCTGACCTATGACAAAATGGCTGTCGGCAGCCTGTCCTTTCACTCTGCGCACGCACGTCACCATGACAACTAGGCAGCTGTGGCACGCACTTGGAAAGAATCGAGCCATTCTTCCACGGTATGACCACTAGAGGGCAAACCACTCTTTCTTGTAGTAGAGCAGCAGCCATATTGTTGTAGACCAGACATGACTAGAAAATGCAAAAAATGCCATTTTACCTTTCTTCCTGCACTGCAACGTAGACACAAGGCCTCCCTTTCTTTATATGAAATAAAACAAGGCTTTTGAAGGTGTTAAAGGGCAGCAGCCATTTTGTTGTGGCCCTTGAAAGGAGAGGAGGAGGAGAGAAGAGGTAGTGGTGGGGGGTTGTGAGGCTGGAGAGTGTGTGCCCAGTGAGGAGGAGGTAATGATGGCTTCTTATTATGAGATGGGGAGGAGAGGAAAGGGTTCAAATGTTTATATCTATGCAGATGGGATGAGTGAAGTCAATACGGTGATATCTCAGGGAATTGAAGAAAAACAAAATTCCATACAGCTAAGTAATCATTTTTCCGACATAGGAGCGCTGCTTCAGTCTGATACTCTCCGTAGGATTGTGACCTGCGCACGATGAATCCACCGCGGGTTAAGATTCATGACTTCTGCCCTGATCGTCATATTTTACGGACTCACGGAACCCAAAAATGCATTTACTACACTCAGAATATTTAATATCACCCAAAATGGCCTTACACTCCTAAAGCGGAACTAAACCCTCCTCTCCTTTACATTCAAGATAGCGGCCATCTTAGCCTCTGTTTGATCGTCAGTTGCCATGGTGATTAGGTTTGTCACCAGCCATTGGATGGCTTGACAGTTTGGCTGAGAGCACAAGCATCAGTGACAGTTAGCAATCCCGGCATGCAACTGTTGAAACCGTTAAATCAATGGGTTTGGTTCTGCTTTAACCGCTTCAATACAAGACACCTTCACCGCCGTCCTGCCCAGGCCGAAATTCAGATTTCTACGCTTTCACACTTTGAATGGCAATTTGCGCGGTCGTGCAACACTGTACTCATGTGACATTTTTTTTTTTTTTTTTAGACAGAGCTTTCTTTTGGTGGTATTTAGTCACCACCGGAGTTTTTTACATTTTTTGTTAAATAAACAAAGAAAGACCGAACATTTTGGGAAAAAAAAAATTTCTTAGTTTCTGTTATAAATTTGGCAAATAAGTAATTTTTCATCATCACTGATGTGCGCTGATGAGGCTGCACTGATGGGCGCTGATGAGGCTGCACTGATGGGCACTGATGAGGCACTGATGGGCACGGATGAGGCTGCACTGATGGGCACGGATGAGGCTGCACTGATGGACACTAATGAGGCTGTGCTGATGAGGCTGCAGTGATGGGCGCTGATGAGGCTGCACTGAGGGGCGCTGATGAGGCTGCATTGATGATGCTGCACTGATGGGCATTGATGATGCTGCACTGGTGGCACTGATGAGACTGCACTGATGGGCACTGATGAGGATGCACTGATGGGCACTGATGAGGATGCACTGATGGGCACTGATAAAGCTGCACTGACGAGGCACTGATGGCATTGATAAGTCTGCCCAGAGGGGCACTGATAGACTGCTCTAATGGGCACTGATGATCAGGGCACTGTGTATCAATGTAAATAGTCTATGCACTGTGCCCCTTATGGATCCGGCTCTCCTTCCCTCACACATAGTCTCTGTGTGAGAAAAGGTGAGCCAATGGCCGGAAACCAACAGTGTTTGTTTACTCTGTGACACATGTGATTGGACAAAGCTGAAAACTTGGTAAAGGGCTTCTGTGATTGGCCCTTTACCCTAATCTATGATCCACTGTCTCTAAGGGACACAGCAATCGCAGAGCGTTCCCAATGCGAGTGGGAGGTGCACACATAGGAGGACATCCAGGAAAGTCCTCCCAGTACTGGGGAGCTATGCTGTTGCCGTATATATCGGCTATAGCGCGGTGTTAAAGTGGCAATGACCACGTGGGACAGAAATGGTTAGATGACCACAAGTGCCTTCGGGCCTTATCAGAGGGTCAATCCCTCGCTGGTGACTAAGTTCTGCTGAGAGAACCAATCTAAGGTTCAACCCAATTCTGATTGCTGGAAATCCCTTTATTGCTGTTCAGAATGTTGCTGAAGCTCCATTGATCGGGTGACAAATCGCTGGTCTGGGGGTGTGATGCCATAGGACAGCAATGGGCAAACTACGGCCCGCGAGCCGTATACGGCCCGGCGGACCTTTTAATCAGGCCCGCGGAGCGTGATACTGTCAGGATGGCTATCAGGATGTGTGTAGGCGGGGCAGCGTGACGAACGTGAGGGGAACTAGGCTCCTCTCACAGTCCGCCCTGAAGACCGGAACGGTGCGGGAACACGGCGAGAGGAACGCGCGGAGCAAAGGTAAGTAAATTGACACAGGGGGGACTTGGGGACTTAATATGGGGGATGAATTAATATGGGGGATGAATTACTATATGGGGGAATGAATTACTATAGGGGGGATGAATTACTATATGGGGGATGAATTACTATGCTTACTATGGGGGAATATTATTATACTTACTATGGATGACACATACACATCATTCATCTACTCTTCTCCGGCCCCCGGGTCCAATATATGAACCCATTGCGGCCCTCAAGTCCAAAAGTTTGCCCACCCCTGCCATAGGATCATATATGTCAAACTTTAGCAACAGAAACACATTCAACCAGCTTACCTGGGCCTTACAAGCCAGCATGTACCTTTGATTCACAGTTATGTGAGGTGTATCTGAAAGTTTCCGCACAGATATATATATATATATATAAATATAAAGTTTAAAAAAGTGTGGAAACTTTCTGAAGAACCCTCGTATATTTTTTCAAGATACATTTTTAATGGTAACTGTAATGTTATGGATTTGCTGCAGTGCTTTATGAACCCGCTTTTATTCAAAGGTCTGGAAGTATTTAGAAGGATCTATGAAAGGACGTCATGATGGAGAACCGGCCGCCCCTCACATCACCGGGTAAGAGGAGACTTTTATTTCTTGTATTGAGGATCCACCTAGATACACACATCCTCTGATATAAAGACATAGAAACAATAGAGGAGTGGGAGAATATAGGACACAAGGATCTCTACAAGGACATCATGATGGAAAACCGGCCGCCCCTCACATCACTGGTTAAGAGGAGACTTCCTTTTCTCGTAAAGGAGAGAAGAGTGTTAAAGATCCATCTAGATCTGGGTTTCTCAACCAGGGTGCCATCTGGGTTCCCCAGATGGGTCACAGGAGTGCAGAACGAACTGCACTCCTGTGATCCACAGGAGAAGTACAGCCAAATGAGCGTAACTTTAATTTAATCAGCGCAGTTGTGTGAATCATCCCAGGCTCAGGTTTCCTATCAATAAGTAACATTTTTATTTTTTAGACGGGTACCTCGAGATTTTGACTGAAAAAAGGGTGAAAAAATGCTGACCTAGATACACACATCCTCTGATATAAATACATAGAAACAATGTATTCAGTCAGTGTGTGTGTGTTTCCTACAGATGGATCCAGTAATGGGAACCCACCAGAGAGATGTCCTTGTCCTCTGTATTCCCGGGACTCCACACAGGAACATCAGGAGATCCCTCAGGAGGATCAGGTAAATAAAACTGTTTTTTTTTGGATAATTCAATAAATTAAGATCATATAATTTGCGAAGTCTTATTAAAACAAACACAAAATATGAATGTTAACTTTCATATGTATGTCTGCGTTGTTTAGAATGAAAATCTTGTTACTATTAAAGTTGAAGTTAAAGATGAAGCAGAAGATATATATGTGATGGATGATGATCGGTGTAAGGAGGAGGAGATCCTTGCAGAGATCAGCACAGGTGAGGAATAAACACTAAAATCCAGAGAAGAGTCCCAGATCCTCCTTGTTCAGTCACTACAATCATCTCTTCTTCTCCCCCCTCCTCTGTCAGTAGACAGTAATGGGGAAACAGTATGTGTCCAGTGGAGGGGTCAGGAGCCATCAGCCTCTATTAGACTCCGGCTCTCCTCCTCACATCATGTGATTGAGACGTGACCAGTCTCCCCCTACATACACTCTCTGGTGTCTCTCATACATCTCAGTACAGGGGGCTTCACTCTCATATTTATTCACAGACCCCGGAGGAGACACTCAAAGAGACATCAAAGCTGAGGAGGAGGAAGAAGGACGTGCAAGGATTAAAGAGGAGGAAGTTCATATAGAGATGAACACAGGTGAGTAATAGACACTAAATACAGCACAGTAACGATAATTAGATCTATACTGCCAAAAAATATTACTCAAATTATGGATTTCATTCTTTTAAAGTAGAACTAAACGCAAACTTTTTTTTTTTTTTTTCATTTTATGTAAAAAAAAATTTTCCCATCTATGTCCAATGAGGGAGATTTCCATTCAATTCCTGTCCTATAGCCAAAAAGGAAATCAGAGGAAATCCCTTTAAGGAAGAAGGAATCCCTAATTGCCACTAGTGTCTCCATTTGAAGAGTTCTTTTCGATTTCTTTTTCAAAACCCGAAACTTTTTTTCACTTTCACTTTGGTAAACAGGATGAATCTCCCTAACAGGTGTTCTAATCCCTCTCCATGTTATCCAAAACTAAAAAAAAAAAAAAAAAAAAAAAAAAAAAAAAAAAAAAGATTTTCCTACCTCTAAGGAAGGGGGTGCCCCCCCGAAACGTAGGTTCAACCGGCCTGGTGGAGCTGCATGTGCACACATGACTTCTACATCCTACTTCATCTTTTGGTTTTAACGCCATTTTATTTTCCATTTTTTGTGAGTATCCATTTGGGATCTATATTGTATGTAGAATAAATCACTGGCACTACGTGGTTGTGGCCTCCTGTTTGTTTCGTTTTGCCTTTTTTATACTTTAACTGTCATCCTTATTTACAATTTGGGATTTAAAGTGTTACTAAACCTCGGACCCTGCATTCACTATATCTGCTCTCCCCGAACCCTGCATTCACTATATCTGCTCTCCCCGGACCTTGCATTCACTATATCCGGTCTCCCCGGACCCTGCATTCACTATATCCGGTCTCCCCGGACCCTGCATTCACTATATCCGGTCTCCCCGGACCCTGCATTCACTATATCCGGTCTCCCCGGACCCTGCATTCACTATATCCGGTCTCCCCGGACCCTGCATTCACTATATCTGCTCTCCCCAGACCCTGAATTCACTATATCCGCTCTCCCCGGACCTTGCATTCATTATATCCGCTCTCCCCGGACCCTGCATTCACTATATCTGCTCTTCCCGGACCCTGCATTCACTATATCCGGTCTCCCCAGACCCTGCATTCACTATATCCGGTCTCCCCAGACCCTGCATTCACTATATCCGGTCTCCCCAGACCCTGCATTCACTATATCCGGTCTCCCCAGACCCTGCATTCACTATATCCGGTCTCCCCAGACCCTGCATTCACTATATCCGGTCTCCCCAGACCCTGCATTCACTATATCGGTCTCCCCAGACCCTGCATTCACTATATCCGGTCTCTCCCCAGACCCTGCATTCACTATATCCGGTCTCCTCCCAGACCCTGCATTCACTATATCCGGTCTCCCCGGACCCTGAATTCACTATATCTGCTCTCCCCGGACCCTGCATTCACTATATCCGCTCTCCTAGAACCCTGCATTCACTATGTCTGGTCTCCTTGGTCCCTGCATTCACTATATCTGGTCTCCCCGGACCCTGCATTCACTATATCCGCTCTCTCCGGACCCTACATTCACTATATCCGCTCTCCCCGGACCCTACATTCACTATATCTGCTCTCCCCGGACCCTGCATTCACTATATCTGGTCCCTTCATTCACTATATCTGGTCCCTTCATTCACTATATCTGGTCCCTTCATTCACTATATCCGATCTCCCTGGACCCCGAATTCACTATATCTGTTTTCCCAGGACCCTGCATTCACTATATTCGCTCTCTCCGGACCCTGCATTCACTATATCCGCTCTCCCCAGACCCTGCATTCACTACATCTGTTCTTCCACAGAACAGAGAAATGCATTATTTTAGTAAATATAAACTGCTAAATACCTTTTCTCATCAGCAGTACAGTCAGGTCCATAAATATTGGGACACCGACACAATTCTAACATTTTTGGCTCTATACACCACCATAATGGATTTGAAATGAAACTGTGTCGATGTCCCAATTGTGTCGAATGTCCCAATATTTATGGACCTGACTGTATATAGCAGTCTTGTGACTTCTATCAGTGTCCAGCAGAAACACTGGTTAATCTTGTAGGAGGCATTTTCATTCTCCTTGGACTGTCCTATGAGGCTGCAGGGCCCCTGGTCTGGAGAGTGCTGATTGGCCCTGTGCAGATCTCATGCACCCTCCCCAGAAAAAATTCTATAGCAATACACACCAAGCTGAGCATGTGCAGACTTGCCACTGCTGCTCCAACAATGGCAGATGGATTAGGGACAGTAGAAGAAGGAGAGGATCAGAAATGACAGGATCAAACAGCCTTTTTACACAATGCAGAGTATTAACCCTTTCGGTTCCACAGTGAGTATAACAAGCATGCTTTACGGCATATACAGACTGATTGTACTACTGTGGGTTTAGTAACACTTTAATGTTAGTGTGTGACTGTCCCTCCTTTCCATGTTTTAGCTAAACGAACGAGGTAAAAAAAAAAAAAGATCGTTCTCATGATGCAGTAGGATTCCTCCATGACTTGCCAGAAATTGACATTCATTAGTGTGTGGAAGAGTTAGAACCGCTTTGTTGCTGTCTGTCTCTTTGGGTAAATCCACCATCTTGATTGGTCCTGGTGTCCATCGCCACTGTGGCATAAAGTGATGGGAAATACAAAATATTGAAGTTCTCACTAGAACTACAGGTGAGGATAAATCTTCTAATTTGGATACTAGTTCCGGTGACCAATCTCTCGCATTACAGGGCTCCTTCACACTGATGCAATGACCCATACAGCATGCATGAGCCGTTTGTTTATTCATCTGGAGATACATGCAGGCGGCCTATGTTAGTCAATGTAGACACAGCGGCTCACCTTCGCATCCGTGTTTGACAGACCCAAAGGACAGGTGCATGGCCCAAAAAGCAAACCGTGTGTATTCGGGGTCATGCGCCTGTCTTTGTGCTTGTCAAACATGGAGTCCATACAGCCTCTGTCTCTCCATTTATTAACCACTTCCGCACTGCGCTCTAGCAGAAATACTGCTACATGGTGGCATGGGTGCGCAAAATCACGTATATATACTTGATTTAGCAGTTCCAGGTAGGGGTCGCACGTGCGCACCACCCCGCGCCGCCATTCGCGGCCTCGGCTGTCCCAGCCAGTGATTTCTCGCAGGCACCCAGTGATCGCGAGTATCTCCGATGGAGGCAAGACCTGTGTATAAACAGCACAGATCTCTCCCTTGTCAGCTCCTGCACACTGCTTTGTATGGCTGTGCATAGCAGTGTGCTTACAGCGAAACACAAGACACAGCCTCCTAGTAAATCACACACAGCACATGGTTAACCCTTTGATCGCCTCTCATGTTAACCCCTTCCTGCCTAGTGCCATTAGTACAGTGTCAGTGCTTTTTATTAGCACTGATCGCTGTATTGGTGTCACTGGGGATGTCAGTGACACCAAGTCAGTTCCGCCCAGTGTCAGAATGCCCGATGCAGTCCCGCTATAAGTCGCTGATCGCTGCCATTAGTAGTAAAAAAAAAAGAAAATACAGTATATATACACCGCCATTTGTAGACCCTATAAGTCACATAAACCAATTAATTTACACGTATTGGGATTTTTTTTTTGCAAAGACATGGAGCAGAATACATTTTGGCCTACATTTATGAAATTTGATTTTTTTAATTTTTTTCTGGACACATTTAATAGCAAAAAGTCAAAAGTATTGTTTTTTTTCCTTAAAATTGCCGGTCTTTTTTTATTCCATTTATAGTGCAAAAAATAAAAAATCGCACAGGCGATCAAATACCACCAAAAGAAAAAACTCTATTGGTGGGGAAAAAAAAGGATGTAAATTTCATTTGGGTGCAGTGTTGCATGACCGTGCAATTGTCAGTTAAAGTAACACAGCGCTGTATCGCAAAAAAAGGCCTGGTCAGGAGGGGGGGGGGATCCTCTGGAGGGCAAGTGGTTCACATAGTCTGCCTGCATGCAGCTCCAGACTACTTAAGACATATAAACAGGTCTTGCTTCCTGTAAGGGCCTTTGTACTCATGTGAATGGCCCACGAAGTGTTGTCTGAATGGACGAAGTGGGGTGGTGATGTCACAATCTCTTCCAATCGCAGACTGTTTTGCATTTATTGAGAAAATGTGCTTTGAGTGGTGCCCACGTGTGGTGGTTTATGTAATAATTTATTCTAAATACATAGGGTGGTGTCCTCTCCCTTAAACAAAATATCGCATTGCCTCCATCCATTAAAATACGGCAAATATTTAATGAACCAATAACTTGGACACCCTAATAATTTGATCACCACTTAATAATTTACCTTGAGTCCTATTACCAGTATGATTTCGTACCATATACACAAAAGTTGCCTTTTTGATAAATAAATTTATGTACAAAATTTATATATATATTAAAACAAACGCAAAATACTGGTGATGAATATATACTCGTACACACAATCAAAAATATAATATGCTAATTTCTATGTTATCAAACAATATGTGATTATCAATTTAAATGGAAGATAAAATTTTGAGGGATTAGTGTAACCTTATAGTGCTTCAAATATTAGTTCTCATTTCTCGTGGCCATAGAGAAATAAGAAGGTCTTTCTGATAAATTGCACCACAACAACAATACAAAT